ATTTCGGATCGGATTCGGATCGGATAGTTGAGGCTCGGTTCGGATCGGATCGGATATTGGGAGGTTCGGATTCGGATATTTTCGGATTCAGATAGTTCGGCGCGGTTAATAATAAGCTGCATATGTATTTTTAACCTACAAAACAATGTAAAGCTGTGTAAATAAACTTAAATGACGATTTTGAACTATAGAATTTCAAATTAGCCAAGTCCACAGTTTTCTCTCTCTTGAAAATCACAATTCACAACATTTATTTTCTAAAGTTGGTTGCTTGAATTAAGTACACTAGCAGCCGAAATCTTCACAAACACCTTAGCTCAGCAGGACTGGTGTCAAACGTTTGGGCTTGTTTACTTGAGGTTATGATTTATCTTGTTTCCTGGTTCTCACAAGCCAAGGAGTTCGATCTCAAGTTTATTTTCACATTGTATTTCCTTACGTTTTTGGAACGGATTATTGGGCTTAAGTGGCATTTTGTGGGTTTGCCAAGTGTAGAATCACTAATGCACTAAATTGGCTCTAGCTCACGATTTGATGTTGGGCAATTAGACTTTATAACTGTGTAAAAGGTGTGTATCCCTGAATTTATAAATTGCATTCTACACATATTCACTGCCAAACATAATTCAGTAGAACCTTGATGAACCGAGAATTACACTAGCCTAGACATAACTTCATTACAGAATTACACTAGCCTAGACATAACTTCATTACGCCAAGTAAAATACCAAGATAATCTTTAATTGTATTTGAATCGTATAATCTTAGTTTGTTAAAAATGGATTGTATGTTCAACAATAATTGCAGTCCATTTTTGTTAAGCAGTATGGTCCCAAATTATTGTTTTTGATTTTGAAACATCACAGTTCATTTGACAAAATTATAATTGAAGCAGCCCTGCAATGTCAAGTCACGCGCTTGTGCAATAGTTTGTTTACAAGCTTTCTCCAGACCACAGGGGAGGGTCTGATAAGCCGTCTATTGTTCACCCCCAAGAAGGTCCGACCCTCATTAGTGCCGCTCGGCTGCACTCAGTGTTTTACCCCCTGCTGGGCGCTATGTCATAAAAGCTGATACGTTGAATGCCTGATAAGGGAAACCCAAGAAATAGAAGAACAAAGAGAAAGAATAATGACGTTGTTATCTTTATTCCCTTTTTACAATTTCCATTATTTTTTGTTATCTTTATGTAAGATTTTATGATTTTGTTTTATAGGTTTATAAAATAATTCTTTTTAACTACGGGAATATCAATTTATAATTTATCAACGTGCTTCTCTTCTGAAACAGCAATACCGGATGCATAATAAAGGTCAATGACCTAAAATATCACGATTGTGCAATATTGTATTTTGATGTTGAAATTAAAATCACGACAAAAGTTTGTATATATCCATGGTCAATATCGTTTAATCATTTAATATCAGGGTGTCTAGTTTATTTCCATTATAAAATTCAAGACTAATTCCATACTTTTCAAGACTAATTCCAGATTTTTCAAGACTAGTTTTTTCAACAATTAGTGCGTGTTGATACCAAAATGTATCGATTCTCGATTCTTGATACCGATACCAATTGTTATAGCTTAACAATAAATTTTCTGAATAATACTACACCAACCCCTGTCTTTGTCATAAAGTAGTATTATGATAATGTGGTGTTTTCAAGTAAAGAAATTATGCAGCAATAAAAAATTCAAACTAGCAAATTTTTTTTTTTATGAAATCTTCCACGTACCGTACGTTTAGACATCATCATTGACTGCAGCGGTTACAGAAAAGTGATCGTCGTCGTCCGCGATCACGGCAAAATCATGAACATTTCCCGCGGCCTTGTAGACATCATCGTCGTCTCCCGCGGTCACGGAAACGTCACCGTCGTCTCCCGCGGTCACGGAAACGTCATCGTCATCTCCCGCGGTCACGGAAACGTCATCGTTATCTCCTGCGGTCACGGAAACGTCATCGTCGTCGTCCGCGATCGCGACAAACTCATGAACATTTCCCGCGGTCACGGAATCGTCATCGTCGTCTCCCGCGGTCACGGAAACGTCATCCTTATCTCCCGCGGTCACGGAAACGTCATCGTCATCTCCCGCGATCGCGACAAAATCATGGACATTTCCCGCGGCCGAGCAGATATCATCGTCGTCTCCCGCGGTCACGGAAACATCATCGTCATCTCCCGCGGTCACGGAAACGTGATTGTCGTCGTCCGCGATCGCGGCAAAATCATGAACATTTCCCGCGGCCTTGTAGACATCATCGTCGTCTCCCGCGGTCACGGAAACGTCATCGTTATCTCCTGCGGTCACGGAAACGTCATCGTCGTCGTCCGCGATCGTGACAAAATCATGAACATTTCCCGCGGCCTCACCCGCGATCTTGGCAAAATCATGAACATTTCCCGCGGCTGTTCAGACATCACCGTCATCTCCCGCGGTCACGGAAATGTTATCGTCATCGTCCGCGATCGCGACAAACTCATGAACATTTCCCGCGGTCACGGAATCGTCATCGTCGTCTCCCGCGGTCACGAAACGTCATCCTTATCTCCCGCGGTCACGGAAACATCATCGTCATCTCCCGCGGTCACAAAAACGTGATCGTCGTCGTCCGCGATCGCGGCAAAATCATGAACATTTCCCGCGGCCTTGTAGACATCATCGTCGTCTCCCGCGGTCACGGAAACGTCATCGTTATCTCCTGCGGTCACGGAAACGTCATCGTCGTAGTCCGCGATCGTGACAAAATCATGAACATTTCCCGCGGCCTCATCCGCGATCTTGGCAAAATCATGAACATTTCCCGCGGCTGTTCAGACATCACCGTCATCTCCCGCGGTCACGGAAATGTTATCGTCATCGTCCGCGATCACGGCAAAATCATGAACATTTCCCGCGGCCCTGTAGACATCATCGTCATCTCCCGCGGTCACGGAAACGTCATCGTCATCTCCCGCGGTCACGGACACGTCATCGTCATCTCCCGCGGTCACGGAAACGTCATCGTCGTCGTCCGCGATCGTGACATAATCATGAACATTTCCCGCGGCCGAGCAGATATCATCGTCGTCTCCCGCGGTCACGGAAACATCATCGTCGTCTACCGCGGTCACGGATACGTCATCGTCGTCTCCCGCGGTCACGGAAACGTCATCGTCGTCTACCGCGGTCACGGATACGTCATCGTAGTCTCCCGCTGTCACAGTCGTCTTTCGTGGTTTCGGAAACGTCATCGTCGTCGTCCACTATCGCGGCAAAATCGTGAACATTTCCCGAGGCCGTGTAGACATCATCATTGGCTTTTGCGGTTACGTAAACGCAAGACGACGATCGCAGCAAAATCATGAAAATTCCCGACTTTGAAATCAAATTTAAGACTAAATCCCGACTTTCAAGACCATTTTGAAATTCAATACTTATTCCCGACTTTCCCGATTTTCCCGACTACTAAACACCCTGAATATGTACACAATAAATGCTAAATAATCGTGGTTAGTTCTAACTTTAATTATTTTTTATTATTCAAAGTACACAGTAAGACAATCCAAAGTCAAACCGGGCAATGAATACCCAAAAAACAACGTATCTTGTCCTGTGATTGGAATACCACTCGCCGGCCAGTCCTTTCGGTTTAGGGAAGTAGTGCAAGTCTATATATAGCTTCAAGGTCTTACCCACCCCTTCCCCCTCCGGTCCTACTTGACTCACTACCCGCGCTCCTTTCGAGGTTATTGCCCAACCCCTCCCACCCTTCTATTGTGTTGCCTTTCTATTGTTTCTATTCTGACTTTTTTTCGGGAAACATTTAATCTATTGTTTACGTAACATCACAGTAGTAGGCTAGATTTTTCTACTTTGAAACAGTACTGTAAAAAAACTATTACACAGCGCCCCTAGTATCAGGAGCAAGACAAGCACGAGTTGACTTTCATTTGACCATGGTAGTTCTTTTCTGCTTTATGTCTGTTCGTTCCAGACGAATCTAATCGTAAAGCAAAACAGCCGATAACGACTAAACTAGTTATCAGTATTGCATCATACGTTATTTTTGTATGATGGAGTCTTTGCCGTTTGCTGTTAGGTCGTTGGAAACGTATTGCTGTAATTTTGTCCTGGGAAACTAATGGTGGTTATGGAGGTTTTCTGTCCAAAACGTCAAAATATATTGTCTATCCGAAAAAGTCGGATATATAACGGATAGTGTCGGATATCGAATTTGGGCTCGGTTTGGATACGGATATCCGAACCGAATCCGACCCGATTTTTCGGATATCCGCACACCTCTAATTTCTAACATTTTATAACTTAATTTTAAATCTAAACCCTGCTGTAAAGGGAATTTTCACGTAGCAGGGCCACTGCTATGTAAGATTTGTTTGAGATAAGAATTTAACTTCCAGAAATCAAACAAAATTCATGTTTTGTCAAAATTAATCTCAATTTTTCTCAATAACCGTAGAGATACAAAAGGTCTGAGCACATGAGTACAGGGAGCAATAAAGTGTTATTTGGTAAAATGAATTTTGTATTCATTATGGATTGTTGTTCAAACATATACTTTACAAGTATTTGACTTCCTAACGTGGTACCATAAGCCCCAAATAAACCTCAAAGTCTAAGACACCTACATGTTATCCGAGATTCTCGGCAACTAAGGTAGTATCGGTCCCAACCGTTTAATCGAAAGTGTACTGTACTAATTTTTTTAAGGTCTTCAAAACGGGTTGGAAAGAAATTAATAAATTCAATGTTTTGGTGGTCAAAAATGGGAAAAACCAATTTCTACCCCGTTCTCATATTAACGATCACGATCATGCTGGTTTGCGAACTCCTTTGAATAAACGTAGGTTTACACAATTGTAACAAATTCATAAAAATGGGATCATTTTTGCTCAAGTTATCATAGTAACAGACTCATATATATATTTTTACCTATTATGGGAAATTTGCTAACAAATTACAAAATGTGATGAATTCTGATTAAGTAACTTTGAACCTTATTGTGTTGAGTGCAAAGAAGATGCTTGGAGTCAGGGTCCTCAATGATGTTTCCTTCAGCGTGCTCCTGGCAGTAGGAGTTGACACACAAAGAGCATCGGCGCACTCTGCCTTTGTTGCAAACGTTGCATTGGTGCCACGGACAAAGCCAGTAGCCTGTAACAAAATACAAAATCATCTTCTACCCAGTCATAGAAGTTGCATTCAAATTCAACAGGAACAATAATTATTTATAAATGATGTGGTTAATTTAGACCATTAGAAAATTGAGAATGTGGAAATAGTACTATTTTGTCATTGCTGTTGTGACATTCATCTACTGTCACTATGATTCAGAGAATAACAAGTCAATTGATTGGGTCGGTCTTTATCAATGTCAAAATTTCCTTCAGCAAGATCACAGAAAACATATTACTATAACCCAGAATGCTAACCGCATGGTAAAAAGTGATAAGTACTCTGAGAGAGTTTTGCCTGTCAATTCGTAGGCAGCGCCACCAGCATACAATGCACTAGCATAGCAGGATTTAGAAATTATTCTATCATACCATCTTAATTTCAGAAAGGTAATGTAATTAGGTTTGTTACCTGAGCGTAATTTCAGATTGACTTTTTCCAAAAATTGTTGATTTTTAATATTTAATAGTTGAAAACGCCATCTGCAAGACACTTAAGAGGTTATGTATAAAAATAATAGTATTTTTTGTTAAGATCTTCCAGTCGCGCATCGTCTGAAAACATTGAAAAAAATCTAGAAAAACATAATTTTGTACTAGACTTATTTGAAAAATAATCATTGATATCAAAATAGAACAGCTACCTTCTGCCACTGGGTGTTGGTCCACCTACAGAACCAAGTGAGGGGGGCCCTAGACTAAGGTGTAATGCGATCCGTGCCAAGAGTGTTGTGGCACTGGGGGCCTAATATTCAGTGTCTTAACAGAGCCTTCTGGGAACCAGGGGTAACCCAGTCGTACGCAACCCTTACCTCTCTAATCGGGTCACTGGGGAGGTGGACTTAGATACCCGGTATTCGTGAGAACAATGTAGACAATCTGACCCAAATGGAGGAGGAAGGTCTACTGAAATCTGACGATGACGACAAGCTCGCAGAAACCGGAAAGGAACGAAAAACGACTTTCCAGGGGCGAGTTGCAAAGACGGAGGATAGCGGATACTTTAAAGTTCAGGAGCTGAGTCCTTTCAGGGAAATCTCGTTCCGGCTTGCCCCAGCCAGAGACCTTGTGAAAGCTGTGAAGGTATATTTATGTGCCCAGCCCTACAAGGTCTGCGTATAAGATCCCTTGGCCTATTGATTGGAGATCAAAGGGAAGAACAGGTTACCATAGTCAAAAGGCTCTCACGGTTCACCAATGACCTGGGATTTGACGGAGAATGAGGACCTGTGAACGAGGGTGCACAATAAGCTGTTCTAGCTGCAATGCAATCCCATGATAACTTGTAAACGTGGCCCTCTGTTAAAAAAAAAAAAAAAAAAAAATAGAATACTGAAAATCTGCTTGTACACATTAAAATAGTAACATAACAAATACCCCTGCTGCAGCAAATCTCCCGACTAAGCAAATTTCTACGAGTCTGAATTGATTTTCAATTAAATCTATTTATTTAAATAACATTAGGTTTAACGAGTACTTAGATTTGCTGCTACAAGGAAAACTAATAAAGTGTGGTTTTTGTAAAATAATTATAGCTTATAGTAGGCCTATAAAAAAACAAAATTTGCCAAGTTTGATCAAAATTTATCCATAAACAAGCAAAAAAACATTTTACAATACATTACAATATGAAATATATATATATATATATATGTAGGCCTATATTTATTATATATTTTACAATATATATAAAAATAAAATATTTATAAAATATTTATTATAGGCCTATACAGTTTTTTTTTAGGGAGAGGAGGGAAAATGCTTTTACGCACACAGGTAGCCAGCCTGTAGTGTGAGACTCCTGAATCTACATAGACTACTCACTAAAAAACCCCCTCTACTCTGTTGGACACAGACCTGGAATTGTTTGTCACATTACTTCAAGTCAGGCCAACATGTGACCTAAACCCTCAGGGCTCTCACCGTTTTTGGCATTTAGATACTTTACATTTACTTACTATGACCTACACCGCATCCCGGTCAAGGTTGAGCTTCTTGGCGCGGAGAATACCCTGGATGTAATGTGACACACAGGTCCAATTGTCCTCACCCTCCGTCATCATCGGTATGACCGTGTCCACTGACAGCAGTCCCACTAACTGTTGAGCCTCAAGGTGGGGCCTTTCCCAACGCTGGCAGTGGAAAAAGGTATGTTCCACGTCATCGGGAATGCCTGGGCAGTATATTAAATCGGGTGACACGGCTTTGCCCATCCTGAACAGGTACGACCGGAAAAAGCCGTGACCCGTCAGAAATTGGGTGAGGTAGAAGTCCACCTCTCCGCACCGCCGATTAACCCAAGGTTGGACTTGCTGTATCAGTCGCCTGGTCCAGCGTCCCCGAGTCTCCTGTTCCCAGCTCTCCTGCCACAGCTGGTAGGTGCGGGTGCGTTCCTCTGTTCGTGCCTGGTCCTCCTCACGGCGCTGATAAATTGCCTTTCTCTCCGCCACCAAAAGTTTGACGGGGATGACTCCAGCAACCACCAGGACGGCGGGTTCAGACACTGTTCGGTAGGCGGACGCAACTCTTAGTGCTGCCTGACGCTGCACTCGGGCGAGGCGCATCCTATATACCTCCTTATTGAGAGCATCTGCCCACACCTCCGAACCGTACAAGAGTACGGACTGGACAGACGAAATTAACAGCCTTGGCCATCAACCGGCTAAGAGAGGAAACCACCCTAGCGGCCTTCTCCGCCGTACGGAAAATCTGATCCCACCAGCTAAGCTTGCCACCATAACCACAAGGTACTTGGCAGAACGAACGGTCTGGACTTCGACAGCCCCTACCCACAACGGCACGATGGTGTCAATCCGTTTTTTTGTTAATATCACGATCTCAGTTTTGCTCAAACCAAGCGAGAGACCGTGGTCTGCCATCCATGCGTTTAAGGTACGCATAACTCGGTTCAACTTTAGCTGAGCCAGCTCAACGCTACGTGCAGCTATCAAAACTGCAACGTCGTCTGCGTACCCAACCAAAACAGTTTCCTCAGGCATTTCAGACCTCAGGAGGCTGTCATACGCGACATTCCAAAGGTCTGGGCCGAGTATAAAACCTTGGGCAGGACCGGAAGTGACACTCATCGTCTGTCGGCCTTCTGTAGTGTCATACATGAGGGGGCGGAACCGGAGATAATCCTCTATGATACGCATGAGGTATGCCGGGACATGGAAGGTGTTCTCCAGAGCATCCAGCATATCGCACCACCTCGCGGAATGAAAATGCGTTTCGCACATTGAGTGTTACGAGCAGCACAACCCTACGGGAGTAGTGGTTAAAATCCTCAGCTCTCATCACGGCTTTCTTCACCTCCTCAACAGCGTCAACCGTAGATCGCCCCATCCTGAATCTATACTGGCGAGGGGGCAGGTCCCCAGCAGCGACCACGACTGAATTCAGTCGGGAACAGATCAACTTCTCGAGGACTTTGCCAGCCGTATCGAACATACACAGAGGTCTGTCAGAAGATGGCAGGTCTGGGTCTCCCTTTCCCTTCCCAACAAGCACAAGCCTAGCTGTTTTCCAGCACGAGGAGAAAAACTCCTTCGACTATGCAGGTGTTGTACATGCGCAAAAGGATCAAAGGGTTAGCAGTCAAAACCTTCTTAAGGACTTCGCCGGGCACCCCATTGGGTCCAGGAGCCTTATTGTTCTTAAGGGATAGGACGGCCGCCTCCATCCCTCCAAGACTGAAAAGTGGTACATCATCCAACCTTTCCGAAATCCCGCAGTGGGCGCGACGTGTGAGCCGGGAAAAGGGACTCTACTATCCTCCCCATCCATGACGGAAGGTGGAGAGCAGGTGCCAAGTTTCTTGGTTACAAGTTTGTTACCCAGGCCCCACGGATTAGAATCGACATCGTCCCTTAATGTCTCCCAGCAATGACGTTTACTCCGGTTGATGGCTCGACGAAGAGACCTCCTATCCACTCTGTAAGCAACCGACTTACAACGTCTGTCTACAGGTTCTCTGGCCCTGGTAGTGAGTCTTCTGGCTCTCAATGCTGACCGACGCAATTCCGCAATCTCGGCAGTCCACCAGTACACAAGTCGCTTATTGCACCGGGATCTCCTGCGAGGCATAGACTCATCGCAAGCCGAGACGATCAGTGCCATCATGGATGTAACTACCGCCTCTGCGTGAGCCACGCTAGTTGCAGGAGGAACCACCGGCGTTCCTCGTAAGATAGCTTCATTGAGTTTTGCAACGTCCAATTTTTTTTAATTCCATCGAACGGGCACTTGACGAAACGTGGCTACTTGTCTTTGTTGACCATCCAGGACATTTAGTTTGTACAATTGTGACAATTATGTACTGGTGGTCACTGGCCGTGTAATCCTCCAGGACTCTCCAGGCTCTGATCCTTGGCAAAAGAGACTCAGATGCAAGGGTAATGTCTGGGATCGTTCCCCGCATCCCAGGACGCCGGAAAGTTGGCGTGTTGCCCTTGTTGATGACAATGAGTCCGGCTCTGGCAGCAAAGTCCAGAATGTAGGCTACTTGCCCCGGGAATTTGTGAGGGTCATTCCCCACTACCCACGACGTGTCCTGTGGTATTGCGCACGCTCTCTTCCAGGCAGTCTATCTTTTCACGAAAGTCACGGATGGCCTCGTTGGGAGTGAGGTAGACACTAAAGTAAGTGACACCCCGGCATCGAACCCAAACGAAACAACGGCCCTTCGCGTGACCCTGTACTTGTACTTTAGCTGCATTACGCGCCCAGAACATAAACAAATCAATTAACATATCACAATTTTAGGGCCTGATGACTGACTTCAAGACTGCAAGCAAGAAGAAAATAAAAATTAACTATGTTTCTACCATGCAATATGAATAATATAATTAATTCATTCCCTGCCTCCTAACCTCCTAAGTATAAAATCCTCACACTTGCAATAGCATTATTTAGTTACATCAACATAAATAGCCTTCATAATTTATCTATTATTGGCATTAGTAGGCCCACAGCTTTACATAAGAATTATTTTTTAAAGGGCTTAAAATAGTAATAGGCTAAGCAAATGACAAATGGAGAACTCATTGAAGAAACATGTAGTGTGAACTGATTTACTATAAATTTACTATAAAACTAAAAAACAGTAATTATCACACGGAAATAAAAGGAAATAGTCTTTGTAACAAATCTGGGAACAAAAGTGAGAAAATACTTTATCTAGGCGTAAAATGATTCATCCTCATGAGCATTTAAATTAAGGGAACAAACTATAATAACTAATAAAATACAACACAACAATTCAAGTTTTCAAGTCAATGAGCCACTAGTGCCCTAATTAGCAACACAGGTCAATGTTTTTCAAGAGTAAGTCAATGTTTTTGAAACTGCAGGGTCATTTTCTCGGAAGGGGGGGTAGTAGGATTTATAGTTCTTGGGAAGACTTTTGACGAACACTTGCTACTAAAAGAAGTATTCCGACGACTGAGGGAAGCGGGTCTTAAACTAAATCCAGAGAAATGTCATTTTTGCAAGACAGAACTCAAATACCTGGGACATATAGTCAATAGAAATGGAGTTCATACGGAACCTGAAAAAGTGCGAACGATGCTCGAATTTCCCGTACCCGAAAATCAAAGGTCTCTGCGCAGGTTTTTGGGTCTTTTGTCTTGGTATCTTGGTTCATAAAAGATTTTGCCAATATTAGTAGTCCCATGACCTCTTTACTAAAGAAATCGGCAAGATTCGAATGGAACGACCTTCATCAATCAATCAATCAAATAATTATCAATTATTTAAGATGGGGACGCTACTATGTGCGTATTTAAACCCAAATATAAGTGAAGGATGAGTGGCGCAATCTTGTAGTCTTGTTAGTGACTAAGGTCGACATAAATTAAACATAAACCCCCGTTCCCATCGTCCGATTATGCAGGTTTGCGAACTTGTTCGAATAAACGTAGGTTTACACGTTTGTACCAAATTTCATCAAAATCGGTTCATTTTTGCTCGAGTTATCACGCTAACGGACTTTTATGTATATATATATATAATATATATATAAATATACATATATATAAATGTATAATATAAATATATATATATATATATATATATATATATATATATATATATATATATATATATATGAATCTGAACGGATGGTGTTTTTGGCCTCTAGGGACCTCAAAACGAAAATTTAAATCGGTCCCAGGTCCAGGTCTTACCATGAGTACTACGGTAATAGCTTATTCCCTATATGGGAAATCGCTAAAAGTATAGTACAACTGAAAAAGAATGTTTGGCATTGGTTTGGGGCATTAAAACTTTCCAGCCATATCTCGAGGGATACCACTTAAAAGAAGAAACTGACCATCAAGCGCTAAAATGGGACCTATAAAATATCTATAAAAGAACCTTCTGGGCGACTGGGAAGATAGATCCTAGAAATCCATTAATACAGCTTCGACATCTGCTACCGTAAGGGTATAAATAATACTGTAGCAGACACACTATCTCGTTTTCCAAACTGGCAGAACGTTGAACAAAACTCTCTAAATGAATTAGGGGTTGAGAGTTCTGGAACACCAAATCCAGGCCAGAATGGAAATCATACAAATACAAATGTTCGAAGGGCTCTCAACTGGTACAAATCACTGTTAAAGAGAGCCAAGAAATCCCAGCTAGACAATTATGTTGTGAAGGAGGATAAATTGTACAGAAAATTCAGGCCAACGAGAGGTATACAAGATCCAACTACATTGTGGAAACTCTGCGTTCCAGAGGCAGACAGACGATTAGTTTTGGAAGAGACTCACAATAGACCTACTGCTGGACACTTAGGAACCAGAAAAACAATTGCTAGAGTGAGACAACACTTTTATTGGCCTGGCTGGAAGAAAGACGTGACAGAATATGTCCGAAAGTGTACTGTTTGTCAAAGACACAAACCTGAACAAAAACCTCCAATGGGGTTAATGTATTTTAGAAAACTAGAAGGCCCATGGTTCACGGTGGTTGCTGGCTTGATTGGACCTTTTCCTCGGTCTACAAAGGGTTAAATTGTAGAATTGTTACAGGTTAAAGCTCTGCCCTGGTTATTCAAGACTTATTTACTAAATGGGTTGAGATCGTCCCTTTATGTAATGCTACTGCCAAAGAGATCAAGGAAAAGTTTAAAGAAGTTATAAGGCTATGATATGGTGCCCCTGCAGTTATCCTTACGGATAATGGTACACAGTTCACGTCTCAAATATTCGGCTAACTAGCAAACGATTGGCAAATTCAGCAAAGATTCACAGCCCCTTATTCTCCACAATCTAATACTATGGAGAGGTGCAATAGGGTGATAAAAACAATGATACGGCAATTCATAACGGACAACCATAAACATTAGGACAAATTCCTTGGAGGATTTTCATTTTGCAATTAATTCATCTATACATAATTCTACTGGCTACAGCCCTGACTTTCTATATTTTGGACGAGAACTGAAGATGCCAGAATCTCTACAACAAGTAGATTTGGTAGAGGACGACAAAGAAGCTACCTTAAATCTTATCGATAAACGCAACGAACATTTCCGAGCAATCCATGAACTGGTACGGAAAAACCTAGCCGTAGCTTACGCTAAGCTAGGTCGCTACTACAATACGCGGAGACGACCCCTGAACCTAAAAGTAGGTCAACAGACACGACTTATCTGACGCAACAAAAGGATTTGCAGGAAAGCTTACCCCAAAGTTCGAAGGTCCCTTCACTATTGTGCGGCAAACAGGGGCCAAAATTTTTGAGATAACGTCTGACCTAGTCAGGACTTCCCGTGCACACGCCACAAAGACCTCAAACCCTACCTTATATAAACACTTCTCCTTAATCCTGTCGCTTGCACGCTACTGGTCAGTAAAGTTTTAGTGACTAGTTAAAATCGGTATGGTACAAAATTACTTTATACAAGTTTCACCATATTTTGTTATTTTTCAGACGGTCAGGATACGATGGAGCGACAGACCGAAGCGGATTGGGTTACTCTCAACTTAGATGGAGATCTGAATGACAATGTCATCAATCATTTCCTAGGACTGCTCCAAAGCCGAAGCACACGTGAGCTAGGCTCCAAACGAGTAATGGCCTTTCCCACACATTTCTTTCAGCGATGGGACTTAAATAACGAGGGTTACTCGGGAATCAGATCTTGGGTTAAAGAAAATCCTCTTATTCAGGATTTCTTACTGTTCCCCATACACCTTACAACAGCAAGTGGCCATTGGGATAATTAATATTGGGCCGACCAAAGAATAAGGATATTGTAGCGATGGACTCGATGGGTGGCAAACACAAAACTCGATTGACCCAAATAAAAGAGTTCATTAGGATAGAATGTCAAGACGGAAGAAAAGGTTTAACGCATGTCAATGGGTAACACTTAATACACTGAAGACGTGCCCACAACAAACTAATGCCCACGACTGCGGTGTGTTTGCGAGCTTTACGCAGACTTATTAGTGAAAGAGAAGGGTCTAAAGAACCCCGAACACAAATCATCAAGGGAGTTGCGGGACATTTTACATGGTGTCTACTAAACCTGGTCTGAAAAATTCAGGGAGTTTTCCAGGAGAATTCAAGACAAATTCCTGAATTTTAAGAGCTACTATCGCAACCCACTCAACTAATCGCAACTAAGGCATTTTCAACTATTACATATTTAAAAAAAAAAAAAAAAAAAAAAAAAAAAAAATGAGTTTTTCATTTTTTTCAAACTTTAGAGCACATGCGCAACTGGAAGACAACGACCGATATTTGAAATATCTTTACCCTGTTTTGGTCTTACAATTTTAGCAACTTTTCCAAGCTATTACAACTAAAAAAAATTATTGTTTTTTTTTCAGCCCAACCTTTTGTGTACATATACATTTGACATTTTACCTTGGGGTGCCTGTTTCTTGTTTAGGCAGCTGAGGTGGTAGCCTTTTGTGCAGTGTTTGCCATCACATCGCAACAGATCTCCTTCTTTCTTACACATGAAACACTTCCCATCACGGACTTTGGCCGCTTTCTTCTTTTTCACTGGTTTTTTATCTTTATTTTCTTCTTTTTCTTGCTGTTAAAGTAATATTGGATATTTAGTACATATTATAATAGTAGTTTTATACCAATAAAATAGATGTTTAAGACCGATCTGTTCATAACATGATAAGGAAAATGTCAAAAGTTGCAATAACTTTTGAACCGTAATTGTTTCAGCAATGGGAGGTTGCATTATTTTTTAAATAGGTAATTATAAGGATCATAGCACATTAATTTGAATCAAAACCGGCTTTTTTCCTAAAATACGGTTTTTAGCAAATTTCCCAAATATAGAGAATTTAAGCTATTTTGTTTTTTTGGGAAAATAAATAACATAAGTTACAATAACTTTTAAACCACAATTTTTACAGAAATGGGATTTATACCATTTTTTTTCGAATTCAAAGGACTATAAACATACTAAATTTTTATCAAAATGGTTCAGGCCAATTTTGAGAAAATCCGATTTTTCCGTTTTTGTATGGGTTTTTATGGGAAAATAGCTATTAAATATCAAAATACCCCCGCCGCAGCAAACCTGCAGACTATGCGAATTTCAACTTGTCTGATTACATTTTACTCAAATATTTCCATCAATAAGACATAAAATTTATTCCCATTTTAAATAACATTAGATTTAACGAGTGCTTAGGTTTGCTGCTACGGGGAAGGTAAAAAGTGTTTTTTGACACCATACGCCAATACTATATATAGGGTGAAATAAATAAATTTGCCAAATTTTATCAATATACATCCATAAACAAGTTTATGGACAACTACAACTGTTTTCATTTTCTCAATAAGAATTAACATGGAAATTTTATATTACACAATTTTTTAATTTTCTCCGTGACCGTTAGGCATACGACAGCTCTTCAATATACTGAATTTTTTTTTTTTGAGCTCTACAAAATGGTTTAAACAGAAATTGCAACATTTTTTGATTTTAGGGTCAAAAATGGGAAAACTCCATCTTTACCCCATAAAACCCCCGTTCCCATGGTCCGACTATGCTGGTTCGCGAACTCGTTCGAATAAACGTAGGTTTACACTATTGTACAAAATTTCATCAAAATCGGATCATTTTTGCTCCATTTTTAAACTCTCTAACCCATTGTCGCACTTTACCTTCACTCATTGCATTCAAGCCGTAAACTTCTGTTAACTGACGATGAATTTCTGCAGCTGATAGGCTTCTAGCGGTCAAAAAACGTATCACTGACCGTATCTCACACGCGGCGGGCGATTCAATAATCGTAAACATTATAAAGTAGCACAGCGATGCGTAGACGTCATCTACAGAGCTGCAACTGGCATCAGTGTGAACGGGAAGGATGCCGGCAAGTGGCGTGGTAGCTCGTTGCGGCATCCGCGCGAACTACGGGACTATACACGCAACCGGCCCTTACTTAAAAAACAACCTTCGTATATATATATATATATATATATACAATTATTTGGATAAAGGGCTACCATTATAAATATTAAAGAAAGCATAATAACTCAGTACCCTGAAATTTTTTTTTATTTTTAAAACTCTACATGTTTCGACCTTTAGGCCATTTACAAGAGTAACTTATTTAACCTCACTTTAAACACAACAAATTGATTAACAAATAAACATCATGTGATGATCTTGACACATAATTTTTCTTTTTTCTTAAAATTTATGGTAAAATAATCTTTGGTCATGAAATTTTGTCATATATATATTCTCATTAAGAATGTAAATCAATGTAACTAGTATGAAAAGTAATGTCGCAGAGCACATGCTTAATGAGAATCATAAATTCTCTAATATAGAGACAGATATGACAATTTTGGACTATGGATCAAAAGGAAATAAATTAGAAACAAAAGAAGAATATCATATATACTGCAGCTACAAGAATGATCCAACAAATATAATCAATACGATGCAAGTTAAGAAACAAAATCCTATATATGAAAAAAAATTAAATTAAAGAGTATTTAACACAAACGTCAAGAGGAGGATAAAATAAATACCCCCGCCGCAGCAAACCTGCAGACTAAGCGAATTTCCATTTGCCTGATTGGATTTACACTACAATGTGTCCATAAAAATATTACATTTATTCCCTATTTAAATAGAATCAGTTTAACACATACTTAGGTTTGCTGCAACAGGGAGGGTAAAAGTGTTTTTTTTTAGGTAAAATGTTAATAGTAAGTAAGAAATAAAAACATTTTCCAAATTTGGGCAAAATATGTTAATAAACAAGCAAACTACAACAGTTTACTTATTCTCCATAAGAATAACATGGGCATTTTAAGTTAACAATTTTTTGGAATTTTCTCCGTAACCATTAGGCGCATTAGAACGCTTCAATATACTAAATTATTTGTTTTTTTAAGCTCTACAAAATAGTTTGGAAAGAAATTGAAAAATTTTATGTTTTTTAGGTCAAAAATTTGAAAAACCCATTTTTACAACATAAAAGCCCCCATAAACCCCCGTTCCCATGGTCCGATCATGCTGGTTCGCGAACTCGTTCGAATAAACGTAGGTTTACACGTTTGTACCAAATTTCATTAAAATCGGATCATTTTTGCTCGAGTTATCGCGCTAACGGACACATATATATAGAAAATTTTATATAGAAAACGGCCATTTCTATAGAAAATATTGATACTTACAGAATACCCTGTATCTTGAAAACCACTAAACTTATTTTCGTTCTGTTTGAAAATTCTTAATCCTCGTAGGTTCAGCTTTAATATGATATACGACAAGTCAACATTTTAAAAACTAAATATTTTTTCTATGATTTTAATTTTTTTAAAGTTGGTAGCCTTGTAAATGAAAATTTTTAAATGGCAACATATGTAATATTGTGTAAATGGTACCCATTTTGAAACGGACAAAGATAAATGAGTTCTGTTTTCACTAAATTGTTTATCTAGTCTAGAGCTTTAAAATGATGCATATGACATATATGTTTACATTTAAAAACTCTGAGATTCGAACCCATGACCCCCAGTTTCTTGAACACCCTGTATTTAAAAAATGATAAAACTATATTTTTACGTTGTTCCTTGGGTATGAATTAGTGGGGAAAAATTTTGTTTCATCCCTGTATGTCAAGCCATTTATCTGTAATCTGTTTAGGACAGCTTACAAGATTAACCCTGTATATATGAATTTGAACGGATCGTGTTTTTGGCCTCTAGGGACCTCAAAACGAAAAAAAAAATCGGTCCCGGGTCCAGGTCTTACCATGAGCACTACGGAAATTGTTTTTAGGGTCAAAAATGGGAAAAACACATTTTTACCCCATAAAACCCCCCATAAACCCCTGTTCCCATTGTCCGATTATGCTGGATCGCAAACTCGTTTGAATAAGTGTAGGTTTACATGTTTGTACCAAATTTCATCAAAATCGGATCATTTTGGCTCGAGTTATCGCGCTAACGGACACATATATATATTATATATATATATATATAATAATAATTAAAAAACATTATAACAACATTATAAATATTAAAATATATATATGAATTTGAACGGATGGTGTTTTTGGTCTCTAGGGACCTAAAAAAAAAAAAAAAATCGGTCCTGCGTCCAGGTCTTACCATGAGTACTACGGTAATAGCTTAAATTCCCTATATGGGAAATTCGCTAAAAACCATAATTTATTAAATATAGGCTATATATATAACAATATATAGCCTATATATATATATGTCATATAACTATATATGACAAAATTTCATGACCCAAGATTATTTTACCATAAATTTTAAGAAAAAAGAAAAATCATATGTCAAGATCATCACATGATGTTTATTTGTTAATCAGTTTGCTGCATGGTGGAAGGAAAAAACATAGGTGTGCTATTCCCACATATTCTGACGTCACTCGGATTGCAAACAAAAGATCACCTGATTGTAACTGTCAAATTAGTATATGCATTTGTTTTGATTTGGTTGTTTTTGCTTTTATTATTATAAAAACAATAACAATCAAACCAAAACAAATACATGTTAATTTGACAGTTACAATCAGGTGATCTTTTGTTTGCAATCCGAGTGACGTCAGAATATGTGAGAATAGCACACCTATGTTTTTTCCTTCCACCATGAGTTTGCTGTGTTTAAAGTGAGGTGAAATATGTTACTCTTGTAACAGGGTGTATACTATTTTATTAAAGTTAAATTCCACGTTTTTTCCAGGTTTTTCCTGGTTTTTCGACGTTTTTCCAGGTTCCCGCGTATCTGTTTGGTTCCACTTAAACTATAATCAATTTAAGACTTGCAGCTTAAGTATACAATATACTTGCATTGGTGTTCATGGAAGTGGAAAAGAAATTGGTGTGAGTGAGGGGGGTGAAAAGCAGAGTAACGGGGTTGTGAGTGAGGGGGGTGAAAAGCAGAGTAACGGGGTTGTGAGTGAGGGGGGGGGATAAGCAAAGTAATCAAATTGTAAATTTTATAGAAAGCCAGTGTACAAGTAGTCTTAAGGAGCAGAGAAGAACACCTGCTTTGGCTTTAAACTTAGGTTTGGGGGGGGGGGGGCTTCTCAGGGAACTTAAGGCGTAGAGATGTTCATTTAGGTGAGAACAATAAACATAATTCGGTCATGGTAAAAAATAAAAAATTACAATTTTTCACCAAAACATTCAGAATTTTGTATCAAGAGTAGAGGGGTTAGAGATAGTTCTAGATGAGATTAAACCTGACATTTTAGTCTTATCAGAACATAACATGAAATCTGATGACTAATAATGGTTAAAAACGTACCTTGTCAGACAATCCTTGACATGTTTTATAGTGTCGAAAATAAACTTGCTACATGTTTCGGTGGTTATTAAATTCCACCATCGTCAGGCACACAAAAGGATCCACTTCTTGAGGTGTCGTCAGAGTTGTTACATACATTTAACACGAACACAAAACACGAAACGATTAAATATACGGTAACAGATAGGCCTATCAACTTATGCACGTACATTGCCGCGGGCAGGACTGGAAGCAGACTGAACCAGGTTATTAAGGACCGACGTGGACTCT